AGACGGGCAGACGGACAGACGGACAGACGGAGAGACGGTCAAGAGAGCTAAATAACCGCTGCTGCAAAAGCACACTGAAAGAATTTGCCAGCAGGAGCTGCGCTAATGAAACGGCTGGCAGCTGGTAAGCGATTTGGTGCAGTGTATCCTGCTGGCTGCCTAATATATTTCTAAGGGCCTCGCCTCGAACACTCGTATTGCAACGCATCCTTCATGAAATGTTGCCAACGGCAACAAGACAGAGGGCCGCCAGTGGAGTGGCAAAGGCATGGCATCGCATGGCATCGCATCCACGATAGCAGCCGGATGTGTGGATGAGCTTCGGCGGAAGCGACTTCGACACATGTAAGCACACAATGTGTGCTTGTGTGTGGGTGAATGTGTGTGGCTGAGTGTGTGTGTCCTGGCAATGGGCAACGCAGTGAAGGCTCCATCGGATTCACTCCTCGATGCACATGAATGCATTTTTCCACAAAATTTAACTTTTATGGTGAAGGGGAGAGGAACAGGAAAAGGAACAGGAGACACGGCCACGACGATGCCTTTTGTCCTAGTCCTCTCATCGGGCCTCCTGGGCAACCTTTTCACATCTCTCTTTGCTGTTTCGGTTTTGTTGCACACAAGAACCTCCTCTGCCGTCGGAGGGTTCTCCGTCAGGTGCTCCACGACACTCCCCCTTCCCAAAAACGCATCCTTGTCAACGCGATTATATTGCAATTGCTGGTTGATTGGATTTTCCAGAGGTTTCCCTTTCATTTGCTTATGAATTCCGAGAATCGGGGGAATTTAAAAAGCTCCCAAAAAAGAAAATAGGAGACGAAACGAGACGAGTTCCGGTTAGGGTCCTGCAAACGATGTGTTAACAAGCATGAAATCTAAATCAAACCACAAACACGCAGCCCATGCCCACACCACACAGTCGTAGACATGGCCAGCCATAGCCATATTCTCCTCTGTCCTGTGCCCTCTGTCTCGTCCTGCCTGCAGAATTGTAAATGGTGAATGGAGAATGCTGTATCGTGTATGGGCTGGGTTAGTGGGGGCGTAGGATGAGGCTGAGACGGAGATCCCCTCTGGTCATGCCATTGCAAAATGCTACAATTCATGATTGAAATTTAAATTGAATCTGTAATCTGAAACAAAATCTAATCGAATTATAGCAGCAACAACAACAACACAACCACACCAGTGGCTGGGCAGGGCAGCAGAAGCAAAAGTAACGTCTAGGGATGTGCTTGTCTGTACTTGGGTCTTCGTCTGTCTGTGGGTTCTGTGTTCTGTATTCTGTGTTCTGGGTTCTGGGTTCCGGGTCCGAGAACACATTTGCCAATTGGGATGCGAAGGCAGAAATCAGCAAAAGTTAAATCAATGCAAAAAGCAAATGGCAATCAAGTAGAGACAGGGTAAACCTAATACTCGGAGACCGCATGTGCGACAAGTGGATGCCCTCTGCTTTTAATTTGAGAATACAAATTAGAAAGCTGCATAGACAAATTAAGATCACTTCAAAATACCTGAAAATGTACATTTTTTGGAGCTGTTGCCGATGCATAAGAAATGCCATGAGGCTTAGTAAATCATTAATGAATATGCACGAAATATATGAAAGCATTAATGAATTGTCTCAACAAATCTGGTCTCTAATTGTTGGCCTTTCAAATTTGTTGAACAATTGTAAAACTTTTGTATTTTAGATGGTAAAACTGTCCTTTACAATTGAATGTGATAACAATGAAACTTTGTAATGTAAATATTATTTCGAAGACTTCCAATAATTACTTACATTTTCTTACAATACTGCACATAATACTCTTCGGGTCTGTGGCCATTCATACCGACAAGAAGAATACAAAAAAAACCCATAGTCACAGCTAACAAACTCTTTTTTCATTTCAATGAGAATCGTGGTTCGAAAAGCAGCAGAAAGGATGGGCGGGTAAATTCTTATGGACTGCGTAGCAGCAAGGAGCAATGGCAGTGCGAAAAGGTTGCCCGAGCCTGTGCCCTATGCCTCTGTGTGGCACATCATATCTCTGCCCCCACGAAAATGGCAACAGCATCAATGCCATCCACCAGAATCAGGCACCAGATAGCAGCCTCCCATTCCGGGCAGTGTCTGAGTGTCTGTGAGCGTCGAGTGCGTGTCTATGGGTCTGTCTGTGCGAGAGTGTGTGTGTGAGGCAAGCCATATTTAAGTCAATTTACATGCAACAATCAATATTTTTTGTGCAAATAGTCGACCCAGGCCCGAACCTCTGGCTCTAGCATCTAACCAGAAGCTCAAACAAACCTCCAAAAATATGCCCACACAATTTTCAATCTCAGCATCATCATGGCGTGGCTCAGGATGGTATATATGAAAGGGCAGTAGGAGTACACATGCAGTACAGTACACACAGCCCAAAAACTTAACTAATAACTCCTCGGTGTAGGGGTACGGGTACGGGTATTGAGATGGGGCTACTCGGCTACTGGGCATCCTCGTTCTCGTGGAGGTTGTACACTTCAGGGAGAGTAGGGTATGGTTATTTAGATCAAATGTTTGTCAAGCTTATCCATTATCGATTACCCATAGCCTTTGCTTCGATCCAAAGGGGTCCGGCAATCAAATGGATATTGCATCTAGCTGAACAGGCTGCAGAGTATCCACAGCTTTGTGGCCCGAAGCTGGGATTTCTTTGCTGTTGCCCTGCCAACTCACAGGTTGCACTCCCAGCGATGATGGCTGGCACATAAATGTATGGCCCATGAGCCACTCTAATTGGTAGCAATATCCTTGGATATAGCCCTCGTCCAGGCAGTCAATTGTTTTCCCTTAGATCTCTGCTTGCTTGCAAAATGTGATTTATCTGTTGGGGAAATTTATTTTTGCACAAAGAATAAACGAGGAGGCCGAGAAGACTAAACGAAATGGCAGCACTACTCGTACCAGGCAAAGCTAGTGCCATTGCCAATGCCACACAACCAAAGCAGCCAACCAAAAGGACGAAAAACCAGCAAAACAGCAAACCAACAAACCGGCAAACCGGCAACATAGAAGAAAATGAAAACGTTGTACAATGTTTGTCGTGGAGCAAAAGTAACACTGACCCAAATACAATTGGGGGCCCCCAATCTCTGAAGCTCTCTGAAGGAAAGTGAAGGGACTACAAGTCCCAGTCACAAGTTCAACAAAACAGGCAATCTTGTTGCCTGCCTGCCCCCGCATGGGGCATTTAATGGACACTCGCTCCCCATGGAGTCTCGCATCCTCACTATCCACACTATCCACTCCGCCGCCCTGTCGCTCTCTACTCGATACATGCCTCTAGTATATGAGGCATTGTAAAATCCGCTTAAATTGTAGCATTTAACGTCGCCTGGGGGCAGCGGGGCAACTGGCCATGGCCCTGGACTCAGGTCGGTATTGTTGGCACTTCAATATGGCTTGCCCCGCATTACCTTGCCCCCTCTCTTGCAACGTCTTGCAATGTTCGCAGGTCCTGTGTAAGCCGCTTACAACAGCAGCAGCGGGTTTTGACCTTAACAAAGAAAATGAATTCCTTGATATGGAAATACCTTTAAGATTTTTGGAGTTTTTGCAGAATGAAAGCTAGGAGATCGCAGCTGCTCCTGCCACTCTTCTAGTGCCTCGTATACCCCGTGTCCCAGCCAATAGCAGGGTGTGTGGACCAATTGCTGACCACTTCCAATGGACGCCCGGAGCGCATCGACCCGGCCACAGAGATGCCAATTGGCTCGAGTATTTTTGGGCTGTCCCCTCAAGGAGAGTGTGAAAGGGAGTCACAGCAAAGGGGGTGAACGGGCATGTTCAGACAGAGGGCGAATGGCTGTTAAAATCGCATTGCCATGAATCTTTCGCTGCGGCTCTTTTGTGTTTGTCTGCGTGTGGCCAAGGACCTTCTTCGAAGGCAATCGCCCGACGGCAGCCGAAAACCAAGCAATAAATCGTTGCCTTTTCCCCCTACGAAACTCTTTTTGGTTCATGCAACCAGCGGTTGCAAGGTAGTTGGCGGTTCGCAAAAGTGTGGGTGGAGCCATTGACACTGTTGACAGTTTTATTGCCGCCGAACGTCACTGCCGGTGCCCACCTGGCCCCCACACACACGGTATGTAGAGAGAGAGAGAGAGAGGGAGAGACTCTTCTCGTAAATTGCAACGCTCTGGCAGCGATCAACATGCAAATATATATTGCAGCAGTTGCACCAATTGCTGGGTTTGCACTTTTGTGCTCCGCCAGGATGAATGGCGGCACAGGCAGAGAAAGGTGCCCCCACTGGGTCTTACACATCATGATTAACGCGTCCCTAAGAGGGCACGGGCAGCCTACAAGGCCCTGCCCGCCACAAAACAAAGCTACAGCCCCGTAAGCGAATTGTGTCTTAGAGGTAAGAGCGAACACCACACAATCTTTGCACTCGGCAATGAGTGCCAGCCGCATTGTCGATCGGATCCCATATGGCGGATGAACACTTCCTAGAGGCTAAAAAGGAATCGAAGTTGGCGTAAAATAACACGGAAATCACATTAAATATCACCTTTCATAAATACTCGATTTAGGTTACAATGCTGAGAGTTGGCGGAGGCACTGCCACTGGGTACAAAATCAGCCGCTTAATCAGAGCCTCTTCATTACTTCCATAACCAATTTTTCGGTTATTATTTAACATCTTTGAGTAATTTAAGCACATTAGGGATTGGGAGAATGGCGCGTATAAATACCAAAACTCGCAGCATCTGGGGTTGCCGGATCGTTCGTAGAGGAACTGGATTTGCTATGCGCTTGGAGCGCACTTTTATCGGTATTGTAATTGTTTATATCTAATTATACTCTAGATATTGTATATTATAATGCAAAGTATCTTGGGTGTTTGAGTGGAGTGGCAACAACTCATCAAAATAAAATTATAAAATTACATTCGATGTATCGATTGGATATCGATATATCTATACGGCTGTCAAGAGATCGGTCGGCACTTCCGCATTCTTCTTCTTCTCGAAACTTCCGAAAAGCGTGTGGAAATTAAGTTTATTAGTGAAATATTCACTTCAATTACAATATATGTAAGTGATCGATACAATGGGCCTTGTCTCTGTGGCTTTTCCGTTTCTCTGTTGAAAAAAATCCTAGGATGTGCAGCAGGAATGGAAATTGAATTTATTTTATTTATTTTTTGCCGCATTTCGGGGCCCTTTTTTGTTTTAATTGTCGGTGCTTGTGGCTCTTGCCAGCATGTGTGTGTGACGGAGAGAGGGAGAGAGAATGGGTGAAAAGCAACAATTGAGTTGCCAAAATGGGTAAAGAAGGAGCCGAGGAAAGAGGAAGCGCGAATGCAGTTAGAGCAGTGCGCAAGCGTCCCCGCACCCCTTCCCCAGAATTTGATTACTTCTTGAGTGGGTAAGAGGCAGATGCAGATGGAGATGGCCAATTGTTCGCTGTGTGGAGGGCACACTCCATCGGGCTATGTACATATGTATGTATATGCATATGTATATGTATGTATACCTCGAGTCATTTGGGCTTGTGTTTGACCGTTTTAATGACAAATGACAAATAGAACTCGCATTATATAGATGTGTATTTTTCTATATTCATATTAATTTAGATTGCAACCGAATCAAAATATCTTGCAAATTCCTAAAAATGAAGAGCGCTGGTCTCAGAGATATTTTTTTGGGAATGCCCGATTACCAGATTAGCGTGGATGATATTGATATTGATATAGATTTGGATGAGATGGAAGATATGGATGATATGGATGAGTACGAAGAATATCTGGTGCCCGAACACGTGCCCGCTGAGGCCAACGAACCACCGGCTGATGCACCGATTGAGCCATCGGACCCGATGCTGATTCTACCAGAGGATGTCGAATATGATTTTGAAATCAATTTAAATGATTCGAGCTCTATGATTGCGCTGTTTGGGGTCAAGTGCACTGATAATATAAACGAAGGATGCACCAAATCAAACTGCGATCATTCGTTGGAGAGCGTGGAATCTGTGAAATCTCAATTGATGGTAATGCAACCCAGGGCAGTGTTACAAGTCTACCACCAGATGTTTTATCATGGAATTCTGGCCCAGAAATACCATCAGTTGTTTTTCGACGTGTTTCATCTACGCGGATTTATGAACACCACTGATCGCAATGAGACTGTCATTGGAGACTACTGGTAGAAAGGTAAGAAATGCCAAAAAGTTTACCTGAATGCCCTGCAATTACTAATTCCAATGGAATTTACAGCGAAATTGGCCTAAGGATGGTTCCACCCCACATATCCCCTACCATTCGGATTCGGGCGCGGGATATACGAAGCATATAACCTCTATACAAAAAACTGAACGCATTTTCTTAATTCCCTGCAAAGATCACACAAAAACAACGAACGCGCCCTCGTGACATAAATATCCTATTCAATTCTTATAGTTAGCTGGAAAATAAAAATAATAATAATAAAAACGTTGGTGGAGGGCCGCCGATTCAATGTGCGCTTTGAGCGCACTATATTCGATATATTTTTTTTGTTTGTAATTTAATCGCTACAGCGAAATTGGTTGGTCGCAGACGATGAGTCCGCATTGACCAGGTACTTTATTTTCGCTTTTGCTCGGTGTTCGAGGGGAGTGGCAACAAATCATCAAAATACAATTCTAAAATTACATTAATCGTTGAATTTGCCATTCGATGTATCGATAGGATATACACACATGTGTGTATGCATGTATGTGTGCATATGTTGTACATACGATAGTCAGCAGATGGTGTGGCAGTTCCGCATTCTCCTTCTGCTCGAAACTTCCGCAATAAATTGCATTTGCTAGTAAAGTAATTCCGAAAAATTATATATATGTTCTTGAACAATTGAAATATTCTAGTGCGCAGGTTGCGAGCCTTTTTTGTTGTTGTTATTTTCGTTGCACGTGGCTCTTGCCAGTGTGCGTTTGTGTGTGTATGTGTGATACCGAGAAGGAGAGAGAGAGAGGAGTGAAACGAGGAAAAGTAACGGTAAAACAAGTACAGAAATCACTCGTTTCAAGTGCGTGCGGGAGAATGCACAAACTAAACATGAGAAACAAAGAAAAGCAAAAGGAAGAAGCAGTGCGAAACGGTGACCTCATCGTTTGCAGTTAGAGCGAAAGCGCAAGCGTAGCGTTTTTCTACAGTGCAAGAGAGTAACAGAGCGAGAGAGAACGAGATTGCACCGCGAGGGTTACCCGGAGTTCCATGATGCTATGCTGCGAGTTTTGTATTTTTATTTGCCAATTGAAATTGAAAGAATACCTCAATAACTAACATATATTCCTCAGATAAACTTCTACTTGTGAAGTCAATGGTCCGAGTTGCTGCACATTTCGGTCCAAAGCTACTTACATATGTGACGCCCACGCTGTTGTGTTTGTATTTTTCCATCATTGATTCGCATTCGATTCAATAAGCCAATAAAGTTCGAACAGTTACTGGCAATTTTGTTATTAAGGGATTTTCTTATACATACATATATGTATATGTACATCGTACATATTTGGAATTTGGTATTTGGAAATACTTATTAGTGTACTAATTTTGAACGGAAATTTGGATAGTCCGTTTCACGTACATCTGGCACCTGTAACTTGCTGTAAGCATAAACCGCAAACTGGAGGTCTCCAGTTGAGAGCAGTCCCAACACTATTTCAAGTTAATTTTCAGTACTAGGGGAATGTCCTGTCCTGAACGTCAGTCCATCCGAGATGCTATGGTTCATTAAGTCTCTGCCTCTGCCGCTCTCCTGCCTGCCTCCACACTGGGTCCACCACTTTTGCAATTCCGAAATGTCCGACTGATGGAAGCCTTAAATTTGTGCATTTTTTGGGCATGCCTCTAGCCCGCTCCTCCTACATTGGCAGTTATGGTGCGGTTGCCTTGGCTCCACTCAAACTCCACTCCGCAGGAAAACTGCATTTTCAGCTTCTATTCTGCTGCTACGTCCTAATTTCCGTTTTCCCTGCTTTTCGGTTTTTCGGGTCGGCATCTCTGTGCGGCCGCCGTTAGTATTTGTCGGTGAGGGGTAAGTGCGTGGGCCGGGCCGGGCCGGGCCGGGCCGTCTTTTAGCTTGTGTTTGCCAGTCACGTTGTTGCACTTAATTGTCCAAAGTTGTCAGCGCGCAGAAGCCACTCTTGGCCATCTCTTGCTAATTGCTGGCAGTGCCTAAATTACGTAATCTCATCTCCAACTCTGCATCTCTTCCTTTGCGGTAAGATCAAATGTCAGAAATTGAAGCTCTCCTTGAACATAAATATTCGTCTCGTTCCCTTCATTTTGCGTATTTTATGCCATTACAAATAGATTAGGATATTATACAGGTTTATAGAAACTTTTAGAGTGAAAGCCAAACCTTAAAACTGCCCCAGAAACTATGTACATTTCTCCATCCGAATTATTTCCCATATATGCCAGCAGAAACGAGTCACTGAATCTTCAGTGGGATACAATTCCTGGCACAAAATGCTAGAGTTTCCCTATTTTGTTGTATTTTATATACATTTCTGCGTTCATGTTATTTTCAAGTTTTTTGGGGAAATAAATTATGTTCTTGTTGTGTTTTATCAGGCGGAACACGAGACAATTGCTTGCCGCTGCTGCTCCTACGAATGACGAAAAAAAGTTTACTTTGCCGTCGGTTCAAAATTGTTTCTTTCTTTTTGTTTTGGTATTTTTATATATATTTATTTTTTGTTGGTCCCTCAAATGGAATACAATTTTTTCGCTGCTGCATTCAATGACGGGCTGCTACACATGTCAAACTTTCTTTCATATCATTGAATCAGGCAAAGTTACGTAAAACTTTTCCTCGCCTACAGAGCCCCCCTCAGAGCTTCCTTCATGCAACAACATTCAAAACGCCAGGTCCTGTGCGAGTGTGCGAGTGTGCGTGTGTGTGAAGTGGTGCGACTGCAGATGGAAATCTCAAAACATTCGAAACAAATTTACAGAAAGAGAACGAGGCGAGGAGTTTCCAAAGCAGCGAGGAATGGAGAGGGGTGCGGAAAAAAGAATCAGAAAACCTGAAACTGATAAAGGTAATCATATTGTTTTTTATTGCTTTCCCGTAAACTCTTTGGCCCAGCCAATTTCATGGCGAAATCTGAATCAAATTGATTTTTGAAAATGAAAACAGATTGATAGCCATGGCCCCTCTAGCTTACACGTTAAACATGTGGTCATGAGAGTCGCATGGAGACCGATCTGCCAGCACTCTCAGATTATCGTAACAGTCCTACGAGCGGAACAATCGGCTAATCTGGGGTGTTAATAGCGCCGTTTCTCTGACGTTTAAAGACGTTTATTTAAGCATCCGCTAAATGAATGTGCCCAGTGGAATATTCTTATTTACATTTGGCTATAAAGAAATACCTTCAAATGTTGCTGAATAAGGGTAAAAAATATGCAGCTTCTTTGCAGTATCGGTGTGACATAAACTTGTCCAGCAGCGGCAGCTCTTCCGCAACAACTGGTTGACAACAGCTGACAGGAACCCTAAGCCAGGCTTAGGACTGCTTTCTTCCACTCTCTCTCACTCGCGTGTATTTCTTTTGACTTTCCCCCTTTCGGCGACACTGGCCTGTCATTCTTATTGTTTATGAGTCGAAAGAAATTTCATTTTATTTGTGTAACTTTAGACGCGTGAAATAAGAAGGAAAGACCGAACGAACGAAGCTAACTTTTTCGGAGAGGAGAGACAAGAAGCCGAGGGAAAAATGTAACATAAACTGATTTGTCCAGGACAGGCGACGCGGAGATAGTGACAGGGAGAGAGGGACGGAGAGGGGAAGAGCAAGAGCGAAAGGGTCCACCAAACTAGCGGTGAAAAATGTTTACAGCTGGCGACTCGCACATAACATGACAAAGAACAAGCCCCCTCGCCCACAGCACACCACCCAAAAAAAAAAAATACAAAAAAAGAATAGAAAAATGAAATAATAATAATGGCGAAACAAAGAGCAACAGAGAGGGCCATATATGCACATACAAATGTACCATGTATAAAGGGGAATGAGAATGAGAGCGAGAGCGAGAGCGAGAAAGTGAAATAGAAAGGGTGGGAAAGGGATAGCGGTGGAGGGCTTAAGGATTGGGCTGAGGGGACCCCGTCTAAGCCCACTCCTTGTGTGTTTGCTTAGTTGATGTCCTTAGGAGAAATTACATTCAGTTTGTCTGTCCCGTCTGTCCCTTGGCGCTCCCTTGTCGCTCCCCGGGTGTCGTGGTTGTCTCTCTGTTTGCCTTCCTAAGCTCTTGAAGAACTACAACCCGACAGGCAGACAGAGAGACAGCCAGCCCCAAAAGCGGAACAACAAAAGTGCAGCCTGGAAAATTGTCCTTGTTAGAAGGAGCACCCTCTCTAAAACCCAACCCCAATCCCCAGGACTCGCGTATGCACAGAGGAGCAACAAAAAACAACACAACAAAAGCTACAACAAAATCTAGAAAATGAGCGCCATGAAAAAAGATATACTACACAATGAACATGGCGAAAAAGTAGCTACAATTCCTGGCTGTTGTCGTTGACGTTGCCGTTGTTCTGGCGGGGTCAAAACAATTGCAGCTAACAAAGCCAACGGAATTTGAGAGAGAAAGCGAGAAAGTCAAAGCCATTGTTGAGCCGCGTATAACCCAAAGAGAGGCAGGATACCAAAAGGGTATATGTATCAGCCATCAGCCATCAGCCATCAGGGAACAAGTCAGATGTCAATCTTTGTCAGGACTGCAAATAAAATGAGTATTTTATTTGTTTTCTGCTAATTGTTTTAATGCTATTTTGTGCGATTTGGGTATCACGTATTCTATCATTTTTTTAATATTTTATCTAGTGCCTTGAGTCTTGTGACTTCCGCTTACAAAGACAGAGAGGCAGCGACATGTGCACCCACTTAGGGGCAACTTCCTCTTCAATCTATCCAGCTCTCCTATCCATGGCCCCAGACAGCATCTAACTTTCATCTCATTGTTATTGAAAGTTTAAAGCGTCGTTGTCTCTGCCATGCGGGTATCCAGCAATGAGAGTCCTTCCTGCCCGACTGACCGACTGCCCGACTGCCCGACGGCCCGACTTCCCTTCCTCCCATTCCTGCCTGCCTTCGTTGGCTTTCCATCAGCCCATTGACCATTGACCACTTATCCAGCCTCATGCAGGCGGTGTCTCTTTTGTTGTGCGAAAACCTATTGGCTTTCCTGGCTCTGATCGCAAATTGTATTTGCACGGCCACATCACTTGTTCCATTGTGTGTCCCAGTACCCCAGCCATTTAGAGGGTCCTCCAGCAGCCGGCGCAATGTCAATTAGCAGGGAAACGGGACGCCGCAGCTAGACTGCGCGCCCCAAAGACCTGTTTTTAGCCTAAGCCGCATCTATGAAAAGCTTTGAGAAGTTTATTATGGAGTTGCAGGCATA